GTGACCATAAGTTTGTTTTCTACATCTGTGACTCTTTTTCTGTTTTGTAAATAAGTTAATTAATACTATTTTTCTTAAGATTTCACATATAAGTGGTATTATCTGCTTTGGTTCAGTTTTGAATGGAAGCAGTGATAGCAGACACACTTGTTTTTTGTTTGATCACAAATAGAATACTGTTTTTTCCCCCTCTCTCCATTTCTTTCTATGTATTAACTCCACTGAAGAACATGTAGTTTGAGTGTGATTCCTACTCAATCTGTAAAGATGCCAATGTCTGCTCCATTAATGTGCCAGTTCTGAGAAGTCCCCAGAGGATTCTTCACAGACCTTGATAAACTGATACAGAGTTTATCTAAAGGAGACTGTATACAAGATTTGCCAAGGAATTTGGGGGAAGCAAAAACAGTGAAAGAGCTTGGCTAGATAATTAAAACACGCTTGTCTTAGGTGAGCTGTCCTACAGGTAGCACCAAAGACAGAGATGCTTGTTCAGGTACTTTGTGGGGTGGAGGTGAGGAGAGCGGTCCTCAGAGAGAAACAGGGCAGGGTAAGGGGCAGGTTAACCCACCCTGAGGTCTCAACTGGAGGCCGGCCTGTGACCCCATGGGGCTCTGGAGGACGCGCTGCACTGGAAAATTGCCCTCATTCTGATGCAAGGGACCCATCTGTCCTTTTTACCCGTCTGCAGGTGAGTCACACCTGAGGTGTGGCCTGGCTGGGGGCAGGCTGCTGCCTAGCTTCCCAGGTAGGTGGAATGAGCTGGAAGTCATTTGACTGACAAAAGGGTGACTATGAACTATCAAGCAAAACAGCAGCTGGGTGACAGGAGCAGTGGTGGGTGAAGCAATCTGATTGGGACCCAAGGAGCATCCATGCATTTTAACGAAGAAGAATAATCTTATAGGCAGTATCAGTAACAGACATGTGGAAGTTGTGCCAAAACTTGGCAGGGTGGGGAAACCATTAGTGCCCTGCTTTGGGCCTTAACTCTTTCCTCTCCTCGCTCCTAAGCATAGAGATCATTCTCCTATCTTCTAATCATCCATCTGTTTCCTGCCTTTAGGATCATTTTGATACAGGGTGGAAGAAACTGACAGAAGAATGGAATGGGCACAGGGTCTAACGACTGGAGGTTGTGATGACATCGACAATTAGGTCTAGAGAAAACAATAATGAGATCTATAACCAAAGAGAGGAGGGCTTCTCTGGTGGCTCAGTGGTAAAGAATCCACCTGCAAAAGGAATCTGCAGGAGACTTGGGTTTGATACCCGGGTCGGGAAGATCCTCTGGAGGAGGTCAAGCCAACCCACTCTAGTATTCTTGCCAGGACAATCCCATGGACAGAGGAACCTGGCAGGCTACAGTCCATGGGATCGCAGAGTCAGACACAACTGAGAGTATTGAGCATGCACACACACACACACAACCAAAGGGAGGAACTGCAGAGTTCAGCAGCTTATAGCAGGAACAGTTCCTGGTGATGGTGGCACCCAAACCGTGACCCTGTGCATGAGCTACAAGCCGGAGGGAAGGTGAGGGTCTAGGGGGAGGGAGGCCGCTGACACGCATGTGAAGACGCGAGAGGGGTGGTGGCAGGCAGGGTGGACAGGAAGACATGTGACAAGGACCAAGGGGCTTCTGGAGGGGGAAGGGATGCCTCAGCAAGATGGGGGACATCTCTAAAGGACACCCTGAAGGTGACTGAAGGAAGAAAGGCTTGGGAGAAGCATAAGTAAGCAGAGAGGCAAGGAATGGGGACCTCACCTCCTGATTGCAAGATGAGAGTGGTTATCCCTAGGTGAAGACTTTGTGGTCTGTAGTGGTCTTCGGGGGAAAGCTGGGTTTTCCTGTAAAAGTGAGGCAGTAGAAAAAATGCTTTAGGGGAAAGCAGAGGGGCTTATGGAGGTAAGTGGGAAATAGAACAGAGAGTCCAGGGTCACAGAAAAAGGGATTAGGAGATATCAACTGATGGGCACATTAAAACATAGAGCACTATGGCCAGCTCGAAGATTTCTTGTTATTTTGTTTATTTATTAAAATAATCATTTTATTTTTTAGTGTTTTTTTAAATTTATTTGGTTGCATTGAGCAAATTGTGAATATTGAGATTGGCACGTACATTTCTCAGCAGCTGCTTCACTACGCTGCTTCTTTAGACGACAGTCGAGTGAGAGGGAAGAGCTGAGACGGCCTCCTAGGATTCGCTGCTGGCAACGGTGACAAACTTTCACACACGTCACCAAAGAGGATCATCTAAGGGTCCAGCAGAGCCGGTAGGAATACCCTAGGGGTGGCAGGAAAGGCTGGAATTTGGAGGTATGATTTCCTAATGAGTTTTCAAAAATTGTGTTGTTTTCCTGAAATTAGTGAGCTTGTTGGATGTTCATGAATTATTGGCACTTATTCCAGCAGCTGGTGGCCTAGTGGTAAATTCTGCCAGCCAATGCAGGAAACGCAGGAGACTTGGGTTCGATCCCTGGATCTCAAAGACCCCTGGAGAAGGAAATGGCCACCCATTCCAGTATCCTTGCCTGGGAAACCCCGGACAGAGGAGCCTGGCGGGCTACAGTTTATGGTGTTGCAAAAGAGTCGGACACGATTTAGTGACTAAGACAACAACAACCAGTGCTGGTGCATAGTAAACTCTCAGCAATGTTCAGTAAGTGGATTAAAGTGAGACATTTCATAATGAGCAGGCAGAGCCCTTGAGAACAAGAGTGGTCTGTGTGTTGCCTACTCCAATTCTTCTCACTGCCTTTTCTCTTTCTTTCCTAGGAAGTTAGCTTTCTTACTTTTCTTCTTCCTTTGCATTTGGTAACCCCAAATAATGCAACTGCGAAGTTAACTTGACTGCGGAGTCTGGTCTTGTCAGGACAGCACCCCGTATGTCTGTGGTTAGGAAGTATGCTTTCATTCAGATGTTCTCCCTGGCTGTAAACCAGCGCTTCCTGACCTTGCTGCACATTGGGATCACCTGAGGTGATAAAAATTCTGACGCCAGTTCCTGCCTTAAGGGTGCTGACTCAGTTGTCTGGTTGGGGGGTGGGGGGCGGGGGCGCTTGGCCATAGAGTTTTCTTTTTAAGTTTCCCAGGAGATTTCGCTGTGCATCCAGAGTGGAAAACCAGAGGTCTCAATGGTTCTTTTCAGAGGGTCCTCTACATCATTGGGGAGGAAGGCGCTCTTATCACCATCTGCCCCCACCCCCAGCATGGGGTGTAATTCATTTCTCTTGGTCATTCCAGCCCCTTTCAGCCTGGGTTGCGTTCCTGCTTTCAGTCTTATTTTATCACCTGGTTAATTTACATCTCTTTATGCTTGGGCCCCTGGAGAATGTCTGAGAGCCTTTGGAGAAGTGAGAATTGAAACTCTGTTCTTCTATGTCGAGGTGTATACGATTCACAACACAGTTGCTGACAACTTCAAGTGCAGAACTTCGAGATCATGAAGGAAAGAAACAGAAAATTCAATCCTCAGTTTTGTTGTAACCCTTGCATGCTAATTTTATTAGGGAAATAGCCATTGAGAAACCAAAGCTTGTTTCACGGGAAATGCAAGCCATGATGACTAGGGAGAGGCAGAGAGAGCTATAAATTAAAGACTTCAGCTACTCATTTAGCACATGCTTCCTGGCTCCTTGCCCTGTCACCTCTGTCTTTCCAGAAACCAGGTAAGTTCCTTCTGCACCAACTTAAGATTTCTGTGTTATGAGAGCCCCCATGTTTGCTAGTTTGAAAGAAGTACTTTTTTTGTACTAATCCCAAGTACCTAATTTGCCTTGGGGTGGTTTTGTTTAATTCAGTGTTTACCCAGCTGTGACAATGTTATCTTGTCTGACAGTAAGTTAATTCATTTTATTTTTGAGTGAACCTGCAAGAAATCCTTGCAAGGAAACGTGGGACTGAGATGGAAGTTTAAACAGCAGATGTAAGGTGTGTTTGCAGGGATGGGCCCTTGAGAGCAAAAATCCCTCAGAGTAGGCTTTTGATTGGCTTTAACCTCATTTTTGTTTTAAGATTTTTCTTTATTAACTAGTTGTAATTTGGCTGGTGAAAGTGAAAGCGTTAGTCGCTCAGTCGTGTCTGACTCTTTTCGACCTTATGGACTGTAGCCGGCCAGGCTCCTCTGTCCATGGGATTATCCAGACAATAATACTGGAGTGGGTAGCCATTCCCTTCACCAGGGGGTCTTCCCAATCCAGTGGTTGAACCCGGGTCTTTTGTATTGCAGGCAGATTTAGCTGGTGATGAAGAAAATACAAAACATGTTCTAGTTATTTTTGGTAAATGTTAATTGCTCTTTAAATTTAATTTTTGTGAGATAAACAAAATGTGAACTCACTGCATAAGCTTGAAATAATATAGAAAGCTATAAAAAAGGAAGCTCTTTTGCCCCCAGTTAATAATCCATGACCAGAGATACGTCACTGCCCTTTAAGGAACATTTAGCCCAGGGACAGACTTGCATGCAGCTAGGGGCTGGGGTTTAGGAGCGCTCGTGTATCTGGCCAGTTTGTGCTGGATTTGAAGCAACTGAGAAAACAGAGTGTCAGAGAAGGCCACTGCGCTCTTGTCGAGGCTGGATCCGAGAACTCTGCTTGGACCTGAGGCCAACCCTTCCTACAGCCCCTGGCCTTGTTCTCGGCGGGACACGCCCGACATCGGAGGGCCAGGCTGGGCCAGCCCGGGAGAGGCGGCGGGCAGGCGGGTGCTGGGTGTGGGCGGTTCCGACAGAAGGAGAGAGAGCAGAGCCTCTCGGGGATTCACCCTGCTCCCTGGGACACGGGAACCCAGAGGGCGCCGGTGACGCCCCTCGATTCACGTCCCGTCAAGAGCAGGGCTGGGAAGTGACCTTTTGCTGCAAGGGTGAAACTCCCTGCGTCCTGGCTCAGTGCCCGAAGAGGAGTGGGAGAGGGTGCCCTGACACGAAGTCTGTGGCCGAGTGGACCGTGCTCGCCAGGTTCTGATTGCTGTTGTTGCAGATCCTGCTGGAATCATCATGGATTCGCTGGCCCCAGCAAGCGCTTGGTTTGGGTTGAATCTTTTCAAAGACCTGAGTAAAACGGATGAAGGCAACGTCTTGTTTTCCCCTGCGGGCATCTCAACCACCATCGGAATGCTGCCCCCGGTGGCCCCGGGGGCCGCTGCCACCCAGCTGCAGGAGGTAGTGTGGGGCTTCCTCGCTTTCCAGCCACAGGCTTGTCTCTGGGGCAGTGCTCTGCCATTACCTCGAAAACCTGCCTCCCTTGATCTGGGGCCAGGAAACAGGAAGCATCTGAATTGAGCGATTTCAGGTCTATCAGCGAAGTCCTTTCCCCGCTTCCAATACCGTCATGCCCTCTGCTCCCAAATGCTTGAGATTCCTTTGGGAGAGTGTCTTTGTCCAGAGCAATTCTGTTCAGTTCAGTCGCTCACTCGTGTCCAACTCTTTGTGACCCCATGGACTGCAGCACGCCAGGCCTCCCTGTCCATCACCAACTCCTGGAGTTTGCTCAAACTCATGTCCTTTGAGTTGATGATGCCATCCAACCATCCCACCCTCTGTCATCCCCTTCTCCTGCCCTCAATCTTTCCCAGCATCAGGGTCTTTTCAAATGAGTCAGTCAGCTCTTCGCATCCAGTGGCCAACATATTGGCGTTTCAGCTTTAGCATCAGTTCTTCCAATGAATATTCAGGACTGATTTCTTTTAGGATGGACTGGTTGGCTCTTCTTGCAGTCCAAGGGATGCTCAAGAGTCTTCTCCAACACCACAGTTCAAAAGCATTAATTCTTTGGCGCTCAGCTTTCTTTATAGTCCAACTCTCACATCCATACAGGATTACTGGAAAAACCATAGCTTTAACTAGACAGACCTTTGTTGGCAAAGTAATGTCTCTGCTTTTTAAAGGTTTGTCATAGCTTGCTCCTTTTCTTCCAAGGATCAAGCGTCTTTTAATTTCTTGGCTTCAGTCACCATCTGCAGTGATTTTGGAGCCCCCCCAAAATAAAGTCTGTCACTGTTTCCATTGTTTCCCCATCTATTTGCCATGAAGTGGCAAAGCCATTAAGCTCATAATTAAAGGTAGAGCAAGAAGGACAGAGTCTCCTGGGGGAAATGACATGATCTCCACTGTGGTGTAAATGATGCATCAAGGACGGATGAATGAAGGGACTAACCAGCAGAGGTGAGATCAGTGCGCAGCCCAGAACTTTTCATGATTTGCAGGGACAGGACTGTTTCCTGTGTAGCACAGAGGTCTGTTTAACAGATAGCCATTTTACCCTGACTGCACCCCTGTGAGCTTTTCTCTGCTCTCACCACTGCCATAGTACTTTTTTTTTGCAGGTGCCTTTCTCTGAAAAAGACACAGAAAGCTCAAGAATCAAAGAAGAAAAAGGGGTGGGGAGACAAGGGCTTCCCTGGTGGCTCACTGGTAAAGAACCCACCTGCCAGAGCAGGAGACGTGGGTTCATCTCTGGGTCAGGAAGATCCCCTGGAGAAGGGAATGGCAACCCACTTCAGTATTCCTGCCTGGAGAATCCCATGGACAGAGGAGCCTGGTGGGCTACAGTCCATGGGGTCGCAGAGTTAGACACGACTGAGTGACTAACACTTTTACCACATTCCATTTTTATTTTAAGGACCTTTTCCTACTCTGTTGATGTTTTATTTAAAAAAATATTAGCCCAGGACCAACGACTTCTTGAGATCTCATCCAGCTCTAGGGTTATAGCATACGTCACTCACAGGACAGTCTGTACAAACATGCAAAGAGTCCGTAGGTCAGGGCTGGCATTCAGAGATGAATAGAGCTGCCCGGGAGGTCACATCTGCCATGACCGATGTCACAGCCCTTTTCCCAGGCCCTCATAAAATCGTGGCTCAAGCCCCCCAACAGTGTGAGCCATTCGTTTCACGATCCCACATGGCCAGGTTGTCTGCACCGCTCAGATGCATGCATGAGGAGTCAGGCTTCCTTCTGGAGCATGTATGGCGCAGTTGGGTCCGACAGCTGCTCCGCGGTCCGGTCAGTCCACCGGTGCTCATAACTGTTTTCAGGTACTTTTTCTCCCAAGCATGGCCCCATGCAGAGTCTCGGTGCAAACTAGAAAAAGATACACCTTGGGTGACAGATGCCCACTCCTAGGTGAAAAGCTTTTAATCTTTCAGCATTGAGTGTGATGTTACTGGGCTTTTCACATATGGGATTCTGCCCATGGGGTGCTCCAGGCAAGAATATTGGAGTAGGTTGCCATGCCCTCCTCCAGTGAATCTTCCTGACCCAGGGATTGAACCTGAGTCTCTTTTGTCTCTTGCATTGGCAGGCATGCGCTTTACTGCTGAGCCAGCACAGAAGTGCAGTGATGACCTCACTGCTTTGCTAGCTTCTACTCAGGCGCTCCCCCTGGTGTCTGTTTGCAGTGCTGCAGACTAGGGTGTGTGTTGATGGCCTTTGTGCTCAGTGACCAGCCTGGTGCCTGTTCCTCTTGACACTTAGATTCAGGCAAGACAGAAACCAGTCCCTCAGGCAGCTTCTGAAAAGCCAGAGTGTTGGACACACATTCCACTCTTGTTTCTCAGGGAGTTGGGGTTGAGAGTTTTCTCCCATCACACCATGAGGTGCACGTCATGAGTTGTCCGGCTGGGCTTTGGTGCAGTCTCCTCCTGGGCTTCATGCTTCTCTGGGTGACAGGAAGCTCTGAGCTGGTTTCGGGGTTTCTTCCAAATCTGGTCTCTGGATTCTTGTTAAGTCGGTGTTCCCAGTGGGGGAAGAATGGCACCCAGAACCTACACCGAGCTCATGGACAACCCCCAAGGCTGCCGTGTCTTCTTGGTGTGGGAGGTGGTGAATCTAGGTTTACTCGTGCCAAGATAACTCACTGAGTTTTTGTTTTGATTTTGAAGTTAGAGAAGACAGAAGAGGTACATCGCCAGTTCCAAAGGGTTTTGAGTGAGATAAGCAAACCCAATGATGATTATGAACTGAAAATAGCCAATCGGCTGTTTGGAGAAAAGACATACCTCTTCCCTCAAGTGAGTTTTGCTGAGTTCACAACATCTGTGACTGGTACTCAGGAATGGCCAAATGACTCTGTTAAGACTGGGATCCTGGAGGCAAGCTGCCTAATTTGAGTGCCTGACTCACCCCACATCCCTGGGGGTGTCCCTCCCACCCCTTCCTCTCACCCTCCACCACACCCCCCTCCAGACCTGTCCTCCAGATACCCAGACCTTTTGGGAGCTTCTTTTTCATCTTGACAATCTCATTTTTGCCTTAACCCTATTGAACCTGCACAAAAATATGCATGGAAGTACTCAAAGTAATTCATCCAGTCCCTAAAAAGATCTCTTCTTATAATGTTAGTCGTCTTCATGTACAGATAAGTTTATTTAGAAATGATGGCAATGGATAAATTGAATTTTAAAGCTATTTCTATTCCTTCCCTGTTTCTCCTAAAGAAATACTTAGATTATGTTGAAAAACATTACCATGCTTCTCTGGAACCTGTTGATTTTGTAAATGCAGCAGATGAAAGTCGAAAGAAGATTAATTCCTGGGTTGAAAGCCAAACAAATGGTAGTGTATGGATGAACCGCTCATCATAAACACACTTCTGAGTGCCTGCTGTGAGTGAAGCCCTGTGCTGGGCCCTGCAGAGGGCATAAGGGTGCACCAGCTTTGGGAGGGGCCGAGATGGGCATTTTAGGTCGGAGGGGCAGGACTGGAGCGAGGAGTGGGAGCACCCGCCGCACAGTGAAATGGGCTCAGGGTGCACCAGCTTTGGGAGGGGCCGAGATGGGCATCTTAGGTCGGAGGGGCAGGACTGGAGCGAGGAGTGGGAGCACCCGCCGCACAGTGAAATGGGCTCAGCAGGTGTGGAGAGAGCGAAGGGAATTGGGCAGGGGACCACAGGAAGCCAGCTTCGTGGAAGCACGGAGTGGAGAATTATTTGCGCATGGCTGGGGATCACAGTGACTTTGGGGCTCCTGATACCTGGCTCATGTCTGTCGTGAGGTCACACTGACTTTTATGTGAGCACCATAAGTAAAAATGTCAGAGGGCTCCTTTCTCTCGGTCAGTGAGAAGCATCAGCTCTCACTAAAGCCGCGCCTGGGCCTCCTGCAGGGATGGCGGCAGCCTTGAGCCTGGTCCAGGCAGGGACTCGACGAAGCCCCGCCTCCTCCGCCCCGCCCGCACGCCCTGGTAGGAACCAAACTCGCAGGAAAATACCAGAGAGAACCTCAGAGTTTGCAGAGCGGTGCTGACGCTTTAGTGTTGGCATTTGCGATGGGCAAAGTGAGAACCGCCTATGATTTCTGCCAGCGAACTCTTTGTCGGCAAAGCCTTCAGGTGCTGACCTGGCTGAGTTTGAAATGATTGGTCAAGTCCATGTTCATTGTATCTGCCATGTGTAGCACTTGTAATTTTGAAGATGGACCCATTTTGTTCTTGTTGCTGTTCATTTGCAGAAAAAATAAAGGACCTGCTTCCAGACGGCTCTTTAAGCAGCTCCATCAAGCTGGTGGTGGTGAATGTAATTTATTTTAAAGGGCAATGGAACAGGGAGTTTACGAAAGAAAATACCAAGGAGGAGAAATTTTGGCTGAATAAGGTATGTTCTTTAATTAATTTATGTGATATGCTTACAGATAAAATGTAGAAACTGAAGTCATATTTGAGCAAATGTACATGGTGTATGACTTCCCAGGTGGCTCAGGGTTAAAGAATCTGCCTGCTAATTTAGGATACGCAGGTTCAGTCCCTGGGTCGGGAAGATCCCCTGGAGGAGGAAATGACAACCCATTCCAGTATTTGTGCCTGAAAAGTCTGATGGACTGAGGAGCCTGGCAGGCTACGTCCAAAGGGTCACAAAGAGTCGGACACAACTTAGCCACTAAACAGCAACAGTGTGATATATATAGATATATATATGTATGTATATATATACATATGTGTGTGTATATATATATATATGTATATAAAATGCTGATTCTAGGCTCTGGTCTTTAGCACGGTCTTAGGTTGAGGGAGTTATTTTGGGGAGCCCCCTTGGTGGCCTTCTGCCCCTTGACACCGTGAACTCTGCTGACTTGTTGCAGAGCGCAAGCAAGTCTGTGCTGATGATGACGCAGCGCCGGTCCTTTAGCTTCAAGGCCCTGGAGGATGTGCCAGCCAAACTTCTGGGCCTTCCGTGTCGAGGCCATGGCCTCAGCATGTTCGTGCTGCTGCCCAATGACATGGGCGGTCTGGAGAAGGTAAAGCCTTGCCTCTTCCTCGTTCCGCCTTCATCTCCCGAGGCTCTCTATCCCAGGGCTTGTTTCTGGGTGTGTCTAGAGTTAGGGCTCTGATCTGGAGCTGGTGAAATAGAAAATATTTCTGTGTCTGCAGCAGGTAAAGATGGGTATCTAAAGAGAAGCATTAAATGGTGTCAGGTTTATTGAGAAGTACCAATACTAAAATATTCGGGGACGAGATAACATGAACACTTGAGGTCACATAGGAGTTCTAAAGATCACCCACCATTCTCCAAAGTGGTTGATCTCTCTGGACCCTCTTTCCCAGGGAAGAAAATCACCTATGCACATAGACAGCAATTTCAAATTCTATTCACAGTCTGTTGGACTTTCTGAATTCCTTTTTTAGACATTTCATCTTTTAAAAGACTTTTAAAGGGCAATTTTATGTTCACAGCAAAACTTAGAGGAAGGTACAGAGATTTCCAGCACACCTTGTGCCCCCACGTGCCGCAGCCTCCGCATAATCAGTGTCACTTAGCAATATGTTTTTTTACCCCAAATAAACCTACCTTGACTCATAATAAAAGTCCATAGGACCCTTAATCATAAATCCCTTGATTTAGGCCTGTCCACTGGTTGCTCAGACATTAAAGAATCTGCCTGTAATGGGGGAAACCTAGGTTTGATCCCTGGGGTGGGAAGGTCGCCTGGAAAAGGGAATGGCAACCTGCGCCAGGATTCTTGCCTGGAAAATCCCATGGTCACAGGAGCCTGACAAGCTATAGTCCATGGGATCAAAAAAAGTCAAACACAACTGAGTGACTAATACTTAAACTAAAGCTACTTTGTAGTTAAAATATTGATGTGGTGAGTAGCCTGTATTTTGGAGAACAGGAAGGTTGTTTCAAATCCCTATTCTTCTATTTAGTAGCTTTCTACCCTTTGATGTTTCTTAATTTCTTTGAACCTCAATATTTTCTCATTTATAAAATGGGTTCCATAGTTCTTAATGTGTGTGTTGTAATGATTAGAATATATATATAACATATATATATGCACACACATACATATACATGTACACTCTGGACCAACTCTAAGATATCTCCTAGAATGGATCTAGGACATGAAAAAAACTTGCCTAGAATGGGTCCAGTTCTTGGAAAGTGCTCAATAAATCAATGGATGCTGTATTATTAAGATACTAGATGCTGTGCTGCTTCTGTGAAACGTGTTTAGCAGCATTATATGTTGGCAAATATTTTGGGAAAGCAAAATGACAGTATGTATGCAAGCTTTATGAGATGGACATACTACTTACTGTTCTAACAAGGCATTTATCTGCAAGCTGTAAAGTATTCATAATCTGACTGAAAAACTGCAGTTGTGGGAATTGCTGTAGGGAAGTAATTCAAGAGAATAAAATTTACTTTCTGAGCCAAATCAGTAGCATCTTCATTAAATACCTGGTGACTCAGATAGTAAAGAATCTGCCTGCAATACAGGAGACATAGCTTCGATCCCTGGGTAGGAAAGATCCCCTGGAGAAGGAAATGGAAAGCCACTCCAGTATTGCTGTCTGGAGAACTCCATGGACAGAAGAACCTGGCAGGCTAGAGTCTATGGGGTTGCAAAGAGTCAGACACTAGGATGCTGGGCTTGAAGTTTATAATAATAATAATCATAATTTTGTTATTAATAGATACTGTAGTGAAGTAAGCCAGAAAGAAAAACACCAATACAGTATACTAAGGCATATATATGGAATTTAGAAAGATGGTAATGATAACCCTATATGCAAAACAGAAAAAGAGACACAGATGTACAGAACAGACTTTTGAACTCTGTGGGAGAAGGCGAGGGTGGGATGTTTTGAGAGAACAGCACCGAAACATGTATATTATCAAGGGTGAAACAGATCACCAACCCAGGTTGGATGCATGAGACAAGTGCTCAGGCCTGGTGTACTGGGAAGACCCAGAGGGGTCGGGTGGAGAGGGAGGTGGGAGGCGGGATCGGGATGGGGAATGCATGTAAATCCATGGCTGATTCATGTCAATGTATGGCAAAAACCACTACAATATTGTAAAGTAATTAGCCCCCAACTAATAAAAATAAATGGGAAAAAAAAGAAGAAAAAAAAGAAAAAAAAAAGAAAGTGGATATTCAATGTAATTGCAACTATATAAATATATATTATATATTAATATAACAAATTGCATTCATTATAATTTCATAAATTAAGCACATTATAATATAGTAATATATAAACTATATTGTAATATTCATTATATAAGATAGTATATAAATTATATAATACATATGTAGACAAAGATTAAAAGGGAACAGTAAAAAATGAAATAATATATATTAAGTTAATAAAATAAGAAATGACTTAAAAATGTATTTACATGCAATAGATTTTCAAACATATACAGATAATTTAAATATAGAAATATAAGAGAGCCGTGTGTGTGTGTGTGTGTGTATGTGTGTGTATATAGCAGTTGAGTGAAATAAAATTTCTGCTTTCATTTGTTACTAAAACTAATAATTTCTGACTGACATACACTAGTATTGCACTGTTTTGAATTTGCACTGATGATCAGGCCATTCTTCTCTTTTTTTCCTTAACAGATTATAGATAAAATAACTCCTGAGAAGTTAATAGAGTGGACTAGCGCGGGGCGTATGGAAGAGAGGGCCGTGGACTTGCACTTGCCCCGGTTCCGGGCGGCGGGCAGTTACGACCTGGAGGCCGCCTCCGCGGGGCTGCGCGCCGCCGGCCTCGCGGGGAGCCCCGGGGGCGCCGGGCTGCGGGCCCACAAGCTGCTGCACAGGGCGGTGCTGGAGGTGACCGAGGCGGGCACGGAGGCTGCGGCCGCCACCGCTGTGGGCTTCGCCGTCACGGAGGCCCCAGACTGGGAACGTTTTCACTGCAATCACCCTTTCCTGTTCTTCATCAGGCACAACGAGTCCGACAGCGTCCTTTTCTTTGGCCGATTTTCTTCTCCTTAGTACAGTCCCTGCCTTGGTGGAGAACAACCACCACCACCGGTGCTGGGGTGTTCATAGGCTTATGGCAACAGCCCGCTCTTTAAAAAATTGTTTTACTTGAATTCCAGCCTTACCATCAAAATCAATGATTAATGACTGCAATAGTGTATATATTTACAAATTTCTCTGAAACTGAAATGTTTTGTTTGTGACGTGCAGATAGCAAGTCAAATCAAGGCTCCTTAATAGGCTTCCACTGATTTCCTCTAGGAAATCAATGCTTTGTACTTTTGTGCACTAACGGAGAGAAACAGTCTCTTTTGTGAAGACCGTGGACTAGTGATTTTGAGACTCCCACCAGTTTCAATATTTTGGTAGTTTATAACACAGGAGTAAAAGAAAACAAAGATTTATATTCAGTTCATGTGTTGCTTTTTTCTTTCTTAGCATATAGTGTGGCAAACTTAACCTAGGAAAGAGAATTGAGAAACACGTTAGCAAAACATAAATTAAAACTCAAAAACCAAAACAAAATAAAGCAATCTACCAGGCAGAGAGGATTCCCATATTTTCATCCTCTGTTCAAATAGTAGATTATCCATTGTCAGTTTCATGAGCATTTTGATATTGTGAAATAAATGTGATCATAAAATACACCATTTTAAGCCTAGAACTTGACACATTTGGTAACTGTGCACATGAAAACACTATCACACCCAGAATACAGAACACTTGCATCATCCTCCGAGGTTCTTTGCTCTGCTTCTGAGTCAGCGTTCCTTGAACAAACCCTGATCAGCCAACAGCTGGTCTGCCTTTAATCACTCCAGGGTGGATCTGTCATTTCTAGTTTCATTCAAATGGATTCAGACTATGTCCTCTTTCATGTCTAGCTTCTGTCGCTTGGCACTGTGTTTTGAGAATCATGAGACTAGTTGGGACCATCAGTAGTTGATTATTATCTATTGACAAGCAGTGTTCCACCATCTGGATAAACCACATTTTGTTTATCCATTTACTCATTGACGGTCATTTTTGTTGCTTCCAGCGTATGGCAGCTGTACACAATGCTTGTTGTTTAGTTGCTAAGTCATGTCCAAATCTTTTGTGACCCCATGGACTGTAGCCTGCCAGACTCCTCTGTCCCTGGGATTCTCCAGACAAGAATACTGGAGTGAGTAGCCCTTTCCTTTTCCAGGGGATTGCCCCAACACGGGGGTTGAACTCACGTCTCCTGCATTGCAGGTGGATTCTTTACCACTGAGTCACCAGGGAAGCCAATGAATAATGTTACTATGCCCATAAGTGTGTGAACGTATGTTTTCACTTCTCTTTGAGTAGATAGCCAGGAGTGAAATTACTGGGTCAGATGATAAATACATGTTTAATTGTATAAGAAACAGCTAATATGTTCTCCAAAATGGCTGTACTATTTTCTACTACAAGCAGCGAGTGAACATCGCAGTTGCCCTGAAGACACACCGGTGGGTGGTGTGGCCAGTCCGCTTCATTATAGCCGTTCTCGTGGATGTGAGGTGGCATCTCATTGTGGTTATGCATTTTCCTTTGACTAATAATGTTGAGCATCTTTTTTTTTTAATACAAATCTACAGTTTTAATGTAACAACAAATCATAAGTACATGTGTTAGCTATCTTTCTCTAACATTAAAGTAGTATATGTTTCATTTTTTGTAAAAACATATGCAATGCATAAAACCTTTAATGCCATGTAATACAGTCTAACAAGTGTGAACCACGTAGAATGTTAAGATTTTCTTTTATGTGAAGATATACATTTCAGTCTATTATCACAGGCATTGTAAAGGTGACCCACAAAAATGTTTATCATTTGCAACTGTATATAGAGAACAAACCGCCCAGAAATTAGTATTTCTTAATAATCCTACTGAGTGGTATTAAAGTGGCCTGCCTGAAAGGGCAAATTACTTATCTGGAAACTTAAAATAGCAGAGATCAATGTATATTAAATAATACATGAGTGAAAAAAATACAATGTACAATAGCAGGAGGTTACAAAACTGAATACTGTGTAAAAGATCTATTAGTCTGTACAAGTTTGTACCAAGATTTTCACTGCAACAGTATTTTCCCATATACATCGAAATCTGGAAGCAATAGGCCTTTCTCAAGTTACAGTTTAGTGTTTTTTTCCCCTAACCCTCAAAACACGGAAATATGTTTTTGAATATGAACTAGTCATTTATGGAAGTCATAAGATACAGATATTCATTAACATTACACAAGCTATAATTGAAGTACCGGAACAAACACCACCAACATTTATGGGAAAAGGTGTTGGTGTTAAAGGTGATAAGTGCTACATGAGTTACATAAACATACTACTCCTGTCCTTCTGAAACCAAAATGGGGGAACCTTATTGCCATTCTGTCAAACACCACACAACCCAAAATGTTGCACAGAGGCTCATGAAGCCACGTACACATCACAGAATTAAAACTCCAGCTAAGTAATGAGCTACTCTTGAAGTCAAGGAAGACCAAACTTCTTTAACATATTAATGCTACTTCAGAAGTATCATCACAACAAACGGGATTTAATTATAAATTGGCCTCAACCACATCCTGCAAAGAGGATTTTGCTTAGTACTAAAGAGAATCCGTCAGCGAACATCCTAGGAAAGCTGTGGAATCATGCTCTTTGTTAGTCCTGAAGGGAAATCTGCCAGGTTTGATGACATCTGTTTATCTCCCAATGGCCCTGGGAGTTCTACAATACCAATTAATTCAGTAATTGATAAGTATTTAAGCAAAAAGGAGACCAAAACTAGACTTTGTATCAACATATACTAGGTGGATTTTTAAAAAATCATATGATGAATGTAAATCATAAAACCAAATGTACTTATAAAGGTACACCTATTTTATGTTACATAAAAAACTGCAGATTGCAAACTGTGCATGCTTACGTTTTACCTGGAAAAGTCAATGAGTGGGCTTTCTCACAAATATTTACTGCCATGATACAAAGCAAATATGTGCAAACTGCAAGGTCCCTAAAATAGCAGTTAGAGAGTTTATATACAGAAAGATGACATTATCTGATCAAATACGCAAGAGATGGCGTCTCCCAGAGTTTATAACACAGAACAGTAACCACCACACGCTCCGCCATCTGGGCCTTCTTCCCTGGGCGTCAGCTTGACTCCTTCATTCTGGGTCTCCCTTTCCCACAGCCCAGGGGTCTGAATGATCTTTTCAACAAGTTCCTCAAAAGCACACTGGACACCGTCACAGGTTTTTGCACTTGCCTCTATAAATAACATGGAATGCTTTCGTGCAAATTTCAGGCCTTCATTTCTATCAACTTCACGATTTTCCTTATCAATTTTATTTCCAACTAGCATGTTTACTATGTCATTTCTCGTGCAGTATGTTTCCAACTCATTTAACCAGTTATCCAGTTTAACAAAGGTGTCTCTTCTTGTGACATCATAAACTAAAATAATCCCTTGTGCACCTCTATAATAGCTGGGAGTTAATGTTCTGAACCTTTCTTGACCAGCAGTATCCCATATTGCAAGTTTTGCCTTATTTCCGTCCACTGAAATTATTTTCACCTTAAAATCAACACCTATTGTTGCTGCAAGTTCTGGATCAAAAGTATCATCTGTGAACCTCAAGAGCAGGCTGGACTTGCCCACGCCACTCTCGCTGATGATGAGGATCTTCAGGGTGGTTAGCACGTCCTCGTCCATCCTGACCCTGCTCCGCACCGCGAGCAGCTGGCCGCCCCTTCCGCTTCTCCAATGTTGAGCATCTTTTCATGTGCATATTGACCCTGCGTGTATATTCTTATGTGAAATGTCTGTTCAAATTTTTTGCCCATTTTTATTAGATTGTTTACTTTTTTTTCATTATTGATGTGTAATTTCTTTTAATATATTCTAAATAAAAATTTTCTGTCAGATGTATTTTTCTTAATGGTGTCACTGAAAAGCAGTTTTAAATTTTAATGGGATCCAATTCATTAATTTTTTCTTTTATGATTTCTGTTTTTCTGTCTTATTAGAGAAATCTTTGTCTATCTCAAGTCTGCTAAGACTTTCTCCTAGAACTTTTATGGTATTGAGCTTTTGCATTTAGATCTATGATTTTTTTTTATTTTTATTTTTTTATATACCCAATAGTCTTTTTTATTTATTTATTTATTTTAATTGGAGGCTACTTACTTTACAATATTGTAGTGGTTTTTGCCATACATTGACAGGAATCAGCCATGGGAGTACATGTGTTCCCCATCCTGAGCCCCCCTCCCACCTCCTTCCCCATCCCATCCCTCTGGGTCATCCCAGTGCACCAGCCCTGAGCACCCTGTCTCATGCATCCAACCTGGACTGGCGATCTGCTTCACATATGTTAATATACGTGTTTCAATGCTATTCTCTCAAATCATCCCACCCTCGCCTTCTCCCACGGAGTCCAAAAGACTGTTCTATATGTCTGTGTCTCTTTTGCTGTCTCACATATAGGGTTATTGTTACCATCTTTCTAAATTCCATATATATGCCTTAGTATACTGTATTGGTTTTTTTCTTTCTGGCTTACTTCACTCTGTATAATAGGCTCCAGTTTCATCCACCTCATTAGAACTGATTCAAATGTATTTTTTTAATGGCTGAGTAATATTCCATTGTGTATATGTACCACAGCTTCCTTATCCATTCATCTGCTGATGGGCATCTAGGTTGCTTCCATGTCCTGGCTATTATAAACAGTGCTGCGGTGAACATTGTTCAATTCTGGTTGTCTCAGTGTGTATGCCCAGCAGGGGGATTGCTGGGTCATATGGCAGTTCTATGATTTAGTTTGAATTAATTTTTGTGAAATATGTGTGTGGTGTTGGAGAAACCAGTACTCGAGAAACCAAGCACCACACTTGTAGAGTTGGAGGACTCAGGTTTATTACGCCGGCAGGCCCAGAGGAGTTAACACTCCAGGCTCTGAGCCCTGAGCAAAGGGATTACAGAGTTTTAATAGACAGACTGTAGTGGCAACACTAGCTGTTAACAGGCTGGTTTAAACCAAGGGGTTTCACGAGCGGGAACAGTGGTCAAGATGGGGAGGGGGATGCTGGTCTTTACATGGACAGGCACAAGTAAGCAGGTTTGCAGGGACTGGGCAATTGCAAAGAGCAGGACAAGGGTGAGTGAGATAAACTCCAGTTCCTAGTATTGTAAGTTCCCGCTTTCTGAGACTATGTGACCTACGTGATCCAGACTTTACAAGGGGCAAGCTGAGTTACAGAGGCAGCAGGAGAAGGAGGTTATGTAAAATTTTAACTTTTCCTCTTCAGTGGCTCATTATTTTTAGTGTGGACATTCAATCATTCCAGCATCACTTGTGTTCTGAAAAGACGCATTCACCCTCAGTGGTTTAAGTGCCTTGGAACCTTTGTGACATGTACGCATGCTCGGTCTGCTTCTAGACCCTCTTCTGGTCCCCTGATCTGTTTCTATCACATGTCACTACCTCCGCATCCCTGAGAATAGCCCCCTCCTGCGGTTTAATTTGCCTAATAATAATGTAACCCATCAGGCTTTCATATGGCCAGTGTGGCAGACTGTGCCTTTTGCATCCTTTCAGTTAACCTATACGTGTTCTTAAGTGAGGTTTTTAAAAAGGACTTATGTGCTCATTTAGATTTGGGGGCTCCGGGTCTTTGTCGCTGCACGCGGCTCTCTCCAGTCGCGGTTCTCGGGCTCCTCAGCGGTGACTTCTCTGGCTGCGGAGCACCGGCTCTCGGGTGCAGGGCGTCAGCAGCTGTGGCTCCCCAGCATGCGGGGTCTTCCTGGACCAGGGATCGAACCCGTGTCGTCTGCACTGGCAGGCAGATTCTTAACCACTGGACCACCTGGGAAGTCCTGCTTTTGTTTTAAGTAGACATCGTAGACTGGGATGCTGTGATCATCCCATGGGTGTAAAATGGACTCCCCACCAAAAAAACAAAACGGTTGGATGTTGAGATTAAAGATCCCACACCTGCCCCACGAATGTTAATTCCTCGTGTAATGCGGCTTCTGGGGAGCCTGTGGCAGGGTTCCTGGCTGCCGAGGCCCTGGGGGCTTGACCGGGGTGAGGAGCTGGGCCCGGGGAGGGCTCCTGGGCTCGGCCGGGCTTGCTTGGCTTGCATTTCCTGCAGGTACCGGCGGAGGGAGCTCCAGGCCGTTCCTCGTCAGCTGGCTCAGTGGGGTGTGTGTGTGGGAGTGGGGCGGGGGGTGTGTGTGGGAGTGGGGTGGGGTGGGGGGCTGGGGGCTGGGGGCTGGGGGGTGGGGGGCCGGTGGGGAGTGGAGGGGGCGGGTTAGAGGGAAACAAAAAGGGGTGGGACTAGAATGTTGTCTGGAGAAGGCAATGGCACTCCTCTCCAGTATTCTTGCCTGGAGAATCCCATGGACAGAGGAGCCTGGCGGGCTACAGTCCGTGGGGTCACAAAGAGTCGGACACGACTGAGTGACTAAACCACAGGATGTTGTCAATAGTCAGTTATCAAACATGAGTCAGACTATTACACCGGGTCTTGCTTTTAAAATATAGTCTGACAGTTTCTATCCTTTTGTGTGAGTTTGTGTATCAATTGCTCAGTTGTATCCAACTCTTTTACCAACCCAGGGACGGTACACCGCCAGGTTCTTCGGTCCATGAAATTTTCCATGGAAGAATACTGGAGTGTGTTGCCATTTCCTACTCCAGGGGATCTTCCCGACTGGGGGATTGAACCCGACTCTCCTGCATTGCAGGCAGATTCTTTACTGTCTGAGTCAAACAAGTTTGTGTGCCCCATGTAGAGAGGTCAAACAAACTGAAACATCAGAGATTGGAGCAGAGAAAGGTTTATTGCAGGACTAAGCAAGGAGAATGAATGGCTTGTGCTAAAAAAACAAAAAACCAAAAAACTCTGAACTCTCCGATGATTTAGAGGGAGGACTTTTTATAAGCAAAATTTGGGGTGAGCGCTGCAGGGCATATGATTCTCTTCCAATTGGTTGTTAGCAGGGTGATGCTCTAGGAAAGGTTTGCTCAGCCAGAAGGAAGTTACCATCCTCCACTTGGGACGGGGGAGCGGGGGGTTTAGTTCCTGCAGAAAAGCTCAAACATGTTATATCCCTTGAGGGGGAACCAGGATCCCACTTTAATGTTGCACTATAGTTTCTTAATTGTTCCTCCTTTGTTTCTGCATTTCCTCCCTTGCCTGAGCAAGCAACTGTTTGAATCTGCCCTTTGGTACTCAAGGGCTTCTCTCATAGTTCAGTTGTTCAAAATTCTGCCTGCAGTGCAGGAGACCCCAGTTCAATTCCTGGGTCGGGAAGATCCCCTGGAGAAGGGATAGGCTACCCACTTCAGTATTGTTGGACTTGCCTTGTGGCTCAGCTGGTAAAGAACCTGCCTGCAATGTGGGAGACCTGGGTTTGATCCCTGGGTTGGGAAGATCCCCTGGAGAAGGGAAAGGCTACCCACTCCAGTATTCTGGCCTGGAGAATTCCATGGACTGTATAGTCTATGGGTCACAAAGAGTCAGACACAACTGAGCGACTTTCACTTTGGTACTCAGGAAAACCTAGGAGACTAAAGCCTTTTTCTTATGAGTAACAAACTGGGACAAGAAAAGGATTTGGTGACCAGGAAGGTCCCACTTGGTCCTATTTGTTTTCACTTCCAAGTTAAGATTGCATGCACAGGTGTTCAGTCATGTCCAACTCTTTGTGGCCCCAGGGACTGTAGCCCGCCAGGCTCCTCTGTCCATGGGATTCTCCAGGCAAGAACACTGGAGTGGGTTGCCATTTCCTCCTCCAGGGGATCTTCCCGACCCGGGGATCGAACCCACGTCCCTTGCGTTTCTCGCATTTGCAGGTGGGTTCTTTACTGCTGCGCTGCCTGGGAGCCCAAAGTCACACCGTCTTGTATCCCCACCAGCAAGGTATGGGAATTTTCCTTGCTTCACTTTCCTTCCAATATTTGAGGCAGCCAGATCTTAACTTGGGCTATAATCCTTTCATATCCTGGTTCCAGCCTACTTCTTCAGGCTTATCATGCTCCACTTTGGTTTTGAATTTTTTTTTTTAATAAATTCATATGTTTCCAAATTATCTTTCCAATGTGTGGCAGGCCCCTTGCACTTCGTTGAAAAGAAAGAAGGAAGAAAAAGAAAAACACCAAGTAAACTGAAAAAGTACTGTTTTATTGATCACCTGTTTCATAAGAGCAAACATTTTCAGCTTGTAAGAGTCCCCCATATCACTTAAATGCAAATAAATGTGGAGGTCTAGCTGAGTAGACTTGAATAGTAGAGGTGATTTTTGAAACAGCAGATATATTATTTCAAAGTTAGGTGAAGATATAATATTGACATATCCTTTTATCATATGTTGAACATTTTGTCCAAATGGGAGTTTCCATGAGGAAATAGAGTAGGTTTACATGTGTTTGTGGAAAAAGGGAGAAGGACAGACATGCTCTTTCAGCGATTATATTCTTAGAGATGACTATAAGGTTGGAAAGGAAAATAAATCCAAGGGAGATTGTTACACCAGCATTCAATCTCCAGGAACAGCTCTGTGAATGTCCCCGCGTGTGGCCGCTGGCCAAAGACGTCTAAGGGGAAGAGACTCGGCCACAGAAGAGGATGCTGTTGGTCTTGATGTGCTTGATGAGGAACAGGAAAGGGTGATTGCAGCAGAAACTCTCAGAATTTCTTCCTGCTCTTACAGTAATTTCTACGCCGGAAGCAGCTGTGGCCTCCGTGCCCTCCTCGGTCACCTCCACAAAGCACTTGTGGACGACCGTCGACACCACCAGATCACGTGTCCTGGACATGCCGGAGAAATCAGCCACCCCACGACGGAAGGCGTCCACCATCCCCAGGGCTTGCAGTGTGGGCACGAGGTCATAGCTCTCTTCCACTTTAAACCGAGGCAGGTATAAATCCACTTGTCTCTTCCCCATATTCTGTGGGCTCGTCCACTCTATCACGTTCTCAGCAGTGAGCTGGTCTTCAAGCTGTAACAGTGGGAAAGGAGGAACCGTCAGGATCCTCAGTGGCCATGGAGCCGCCAACCTCGGATGGAAGTGTATGGAAAAGCTTTGTTTTAACAGCAAACATGAATACAGGAGATTCAGCTGTATTATACATATAAACTTACTATACTATATACATATAATATTTATGTATTGCATGTAATCTCATTATATATTATAAGCTGAATATTTTGGAATATTTATGTGATAAACTGAGCCTTCTGTATATATATATGTGTGTATATATACCCATATATAACAGCAGAACCATTAAATAAATTTATTTTGTAAAAGAGGAACTATACATCTTCACTTCTTAAGTTACCAGAGCACTACATGTTTCATTTTCAAATAGTCTTGTCTTGTCAATGTCTTTTTGTGCATAGTTTTTTGCATGATATAATTATAGTGTACAATCCATTATTATTCCTTTTACTTGCTTGACCTATTTGAAAATTTTTCCTGTATAGATGTGTTTCTCTAATCAAGTTTAAATTGTTACATAATACCACCATTAAGTAGAGATTCAGTGTATGTGTTTACTTAATATTTTTAAGCATTGTGTGTTAGTCCCTAAGCTACTGCATATATATTTAATGTGTGGCAAGTTCACTGCAAATTCAGCATCGTTGGCTATTATAGTAATTGCAGATGGCCATTTATGGTATGACTTTTATATGCCAGATATTGTTATTGGTTTCTTTACAAATTATCTTGAACCAATATAACAATGCTAAAAGGAAGATTCACTTTTTTAAAATTCCCAGCAACGAGGCTCCAAATAACTCTGAGAGAATACTTCTAAATAGAAAGTGAGCATCAAGATAGGTTGGTTTGTCTCCTCTCTATGAAGTATGTGATTCAGTCTGCAGAATGGAGCTCAGCATTGTTTTACTTTGTTTGAGTTTGTTCATGTGTGAATTTGCATATATTTTCCATGAGTCATCTACATTTGACTCTTAGTTTCCCCTGTCTTCAAATGAATAGACTGGAATAGGTAAGGTTTTGATGGTTGCCAAATACTAACGTGTGAGCCAAGTGTATTATTTTTTGAACTGATATTCTAGTTTTCTCAGAATATTACTGGGCCTGTGAAGTTAAGATTTTCTACATATTCTTCCATATCACACTGGAAGGTCTATTTTTTTGGAAAGTGACAGGATGCCAAGTTCGCCTTCATGATTTTCCATTAGACTCAACACAGAGAAGAAATAACACACTCCAGTACTTTGCTCTTACGGCGCATCACTAGCATTCTGTGAGCACTGCTTCCGTGAACAGCCCACACAGGCCCTGTGTCACCAGCAATTTAAGCAACAGCATGAAGCGTCATAGCTGCCGGGTTTTACCTCCTGCAGACCATCTGCTTCATTGGGCAGCAGCACCATCATGCTTAGCTCATTGCCTTTGTACGGTATTTCCAGGATCTTGGCTTGCACGTCTTCCAGTGACACGAAATTGAAATGATTGGCTTGTTTCATCATCTGCACAGGTTTGCTTGTATCCTGCAATAAATTCATGTGTCAAAAAAAGTTAAATAGGCATTAGTCCAAAAAAAAAAAAAAGATAATCTTATTGAGATACCAAACTCATCTTCCTTCTAAGAGACAGTATGGGAAATCTGTGAATTAGAGACAAGAGTTTCTTCAACTATTACCAACTAAATAAAGGGAAAAAAAGCCTCGATAGATCCTACTTCTACTAGCAGTTATAGAAGAAATGATCAAATATGTATTTAACTTTCACATTGCACACAGAGCTATGTTACATTATTAAAAATTAATTACAGACAATACCTTGTTCAACCAAAACTTTTCCTCCACAGTATTTTCTTTGTTAAATTCCTGGTTCCACTGCCCTTTGAAATAGACAGCATTCACCAGAACCAGAGCAGTAGTGCTGTGGAGAGAGTCTTTGGGAAACAGATCTTTGATTTTTTCTGCAAAGACAGAAAATCAAAAGTCTGTCATGAAAGGTACGAGTGGTTTGTCTGGAAGATGGTTAGAAAGTTGCAAGCGATGATTAAATATTCACACAAGTCAGCCCGTGAGGGACTCCATGCCCAGCGGTCCACCAGGTGAGGCTTTGCTCAGGGCCCCGGCCTGATGGAGACGGCCCTGCTCCTGACTGGGAAGGTGTTCAGTCTGTGTGTGTGGGGACACCAGTCACCTCACAAGGAATCCTGATGAACTGAGTTTAGATAAGGTTTCCCCAAGTCAAATTTCTGCATCCCTCCCTCACTGCCTCCCAGCATGTCCTTTCCTGTTTCCTCCACCCTGTGTTCATTCTCCTTTTCTTCCTTCCTTACTCCCTCTCTGTCTTTTGAAATTTGAGCTCAATATTCCGAAGAAGTAGCCAGAATATTCTTCTGGACAATCAACATGCACCCAGTAATCTAGAGCACATGGGAGACACCATTCCCTGAGGAGTCTTCTTCATTCTCCACGTTGAGCTGCTGTAGGTTAAGACTATATTTCGGAAGGGAGGTAGGATAAGGCTCATGGGATGGAGATGTTGTCCAGCCCCCTCCCTGGGTGTCCAGCCCCCTCCCTGTGACAATCCTGTGGGAGGGGGACGTGGGCCAGGAGCCTCCTCCTGCATGTGGTCATTTCTTCAAAAAGCGTGGTTTGGGGGAGAGAAGGTTGTTTCCCAATTAACAAAGGGACCCTTTCTAATATCTTCTCTTAGGGATCATAACCCAGAAGTTAAGCCTCTAATTAAAAGAAAAACTTATGAATCAACCTGAAGTCTGAGCAGAGAGTTGGGATCCACAAAGACACTGTCAACCAGACTCAGCTGTGCCTGCAGGGGGCTGTCCTGGGAGCCCCCCGCCCGTTCCTCTCCTCACTGATGTGGACCGTCCACCCCCTGCAGGCCTCCCCACCCTCTGCAATCTCGAGTGCTGTGTTCACACACAGCGGGGACTCAGCAGTGACTTTAATGGGTGACTCTCTCATAACCTACCATTGGTTTGGCTCTCCACCCAGGAATTAATCATCTTTCGACTTTCCTCTGCAGCATTTGTAAAATCAGCAAATTCCACACTGGCTAGATAAAATTTCTTAACATTATCCATGTATTCCTATGACATGAGCAGGAAGAAAGGAGGAATGAAATGTAAATTTATCAGCAACTATGTAGGTATTTCCAAATAAGTTAAATTGTGTTAAATCCTGATCAAGCAGAGTTCATAGGCCAATCCATAGCCCCACCTCATTGGTGTGCTATCAGCCTCTGGGACACTCCAGCGGGTAGGGTTGTGGATGGGGAGCCCGGCGCCCCTGGAAGAAATGCCCCGTGTGGGTCCCCAGGCTCCTCTGCCCCCTCCCCGGCACCCCCATTAGGAGATGGGGCCCAAGGACCCAGGATGAAGACTAAAGGTGTGACAGACCAGGAAACTCACCCGGAGAAATCGAAACTCCTTTTCTCCATAGAGCCTGTTGGCAACACTCAGCTCATAGGCATCAGTGGATTTCTTTAATTCCATCAGAAGCTTTTGAAAGTGATGATGAACTTTTCCTGGCTTTTCAACCTTCAAATATCAAAAAGTAAGCTCACTGGATTCTCTGTCAATGTAAACACTACACCCCCAGAGGTCTGTTAGACCCCTGTCTAGAGGGTGGCATCCCCAGGGATGATGTTTGTGGTTATTTCTCCTAACTGGCCTGTGTTACTGGAATTAGCCTTCCTAATCTTTACATTAAATCTTCCAGGTAACTCTCTCTTCCTGCTCTAACACACTCCAACCTTCTCTCTGTTGAACTAGAGATGTATCAGCATTCCATTATCGTATTGTCTCTCAGTTGTCTCCAATGGTTAGGGGAAAGGTCTTGGCTAAACGTAAGCTCCTGGAGGGCTAGAGCCATGGAGAACTTCTAAGAGTCATCAGCTGTGTGAGAACATGAAATCTGTATATTGTCCTATATTGTGATTTGATGCCCTGTTATATCCCTTTGAGAGATTACCTTCTAAGACCTGTTGACTGTGATCTGTGGTTCTGCACTGTGACGGCCACACCTCCCAGTGTAGGAACAGTGGGAGCCAGACAGACTGGGAACAGCTGTCCCTCAGCATCACTAAGTCTTCAGTGCCATTCCCATGAAAACAGGAGAGCTCAGAGAGCTAAGAAACTTCTCCAAGGAGATACAGATAACTTTTTCAACATAGGCTTGTCTCAATTCAGAATCTCTCACTTTCTGGCTAAGAGTTTTAGACTATTTAGATAAATGGTAGCTCTCATTCATTTTCCAAAATACTCCAAAATACACTTGATCATATGCTTATTGCTCTTAATCTAAGAGTTAATTAAAAGTATATAGCTGTAGCAACATATTGTGATTAACATACTTATTTTTATTCTATAATAATAATATATAACCTTTATCAGAGTTTCCACACCCTGGCCCTGCTGTCCTATTTGAATGTATTTGCATGCGATGCAGCAAACCTTGTATTGCTCCTGGCTAATTGGGATGAAGTCATTGTGGCTCAGAGCCGTCGTATTTTTGCCATGTTCCTCATTCCTGAACAGCAGATCACTATTTGAAGCTCCTTCAGGTTTCAGAGCCCCTGATTTTAAGCATATGCCTCTCTACTTTCAGAAAAACAAAGATGCGAAGTAAATAAGTGAAGGGAAGTGAAGTGAAGCTGCTCAGTCGTGTCCGACTCTGTGAACCCATGGACTGTAGCCCACCAGGCTCCTCCGTCCATGGAATTTTTCAGGCAAGAATACTGGAGTGGGTTGCCATTTCCTTCTCCAGGGGATCTTCCCGACCCAGGGATCGAACCCAGGTCTCCCTCATTGCAGGCAGATGCTTTACCATCTGAGCCTCCAGGGAAGCAAATAAGTATGTAATGTGAAATGAGAGGGCTTTCCAGGCAGTGCCAGTGCTAAAGAACCTGTCTGCTGAAGCAGGAGACGTGAGAGATGCTGGTTCAATCCCCGGGGCGGGAAGATCCCTCGGAGGAGGGCACGGCAACCCACTGCAGTCTTCTTGCCTGGAGAATCCCATGGACAGAAGAGCCCGACGGGCTACAGTCCACGGGGTCACAAAGAGTAGGACATAATTGAAATGATTTCACACACGCACACACATGTGAACTGAGAAACAACTCTCTCCAGTCTGTCTTGCTCAGCATGACCTCTAAAAATGGACTTTTCCCAGTTTATCTGAAATCCCCAGTTTGAACTACAACCCTCTGGGACATATGACCTCCTCTACATCCAATGCTGTCTGACTCAGGAGATTTCTTGTAGCTCTTCCTCTTGGGTTCTCTGTGATTTCATTGAAGTGAAGGACCTGGAGAAGACAGGAAGTGGGACAAGGAGTCTGTAACGAACTATACACATCAGAGTTAAGTAAAAAAGAAACAATGGAAGGAGAAAAGAATACACACAAACAAGACTATATACCAAATAAATACCCCTCACAGAAACAAACTCAAGAAGACACAAAGGAAAAGAACACAGAAATGTTCAGTGAAAGCTTTCATCCTTAAAAAACACAAGCTGTGTGTGGAAAACACAAAGATGCTTGGTTGCTATCCACTTTAAAGAATCGTGTCTTATTATTCATTTATCGTTGAGGAAACGTGTAAAGATGTCTCCCATGGATTTTAGTCAGTGCCTCACTTCTTTCATTAAAGCCTCACCTCTGGCTGTTGGGCGATTGTAGGGGGTCATCCCAGCCCCCAGAGGAAGTCCAGGCACAGGAAGGCGGTGGGGAGCCCTGCGGGAGAGTATGTGCCCCTCTCTGTGCCCACCCAGTCGTGGGGCTGCTTGAGCTTCCCGTGGGACCCCCGGGGACAGCCAGACCTGTGGTCATCTGCACTCCAGCCAGCAGACAAACCATGCAAACCTGTGACGGAGAGGCAGCTGCCACCTACCTTCTGCATTTCTGATGCGGTGTTTTCTCGGGCCCCTAAGTAAGTCATGGCTAAGGCTGACGAGATACTGAAAGGGGACAGGAAGATGTTTTCCTTCTCTGATTTTCTGATCTGGTGGAACAGATCGATTGCAAGGTGGATGATTGCTTCACCGAGGGAACTCATGGTGGCCGGATGTGGTCTGGAAGTCCTGGAAGAGCATCGGATGCATTTTATAATCACTCTAGTGAAGGGAAGTTTGTTAGTCTATAATAAACTTTTCTTAAAAGAAATGTCCTGTATGTGAGTTGTCGGATTCTGCCAACTCTGTGTGTACGTACTCAGCCCTTCAGTCGTGTCCCACTCTGCAACCCCACGGACTGTAGCCTGGTGGGCTCCTCTGTGCATGGGATTCTCCAGGCAAGAATACTGGAGTAGGTTGCCATTTCCTTCCCCAGGGGATCTTCCCGACCCAGGGATCAAATTCATGTCCCTTGCATTGGCAGGTGCATTCTTTACCACTGTGCCACCTGGAACTATAGCTTCTTTCCTTTTACTTTTAAAGTTGTTTTCCATGTATATACTTCATACTTAGAAGACTATAGAAAAACTTTTGTAAAAACTAATAGAATATCTGTATCTTTTCTTCCTTACCTGCTGTACTAAGACTGGGTAGAGAAGACCTTATAACAGATACCAAAGCAAAGATTGATAACATCCAGCCATCTATCATGAGGCACCTCTCTGCCATTTTTTAATTTAAGAAAAAAAAAAGAACTGGCTGCCCTGGGTCTTTGTTGCGGTAAGCAGGCTTTCTCTTGATTTTTGGAGAGCGGGGCTCTTCTCTAGGTGAGATGCACGGCTTCTCTCTGTGGCGTGTCTCCTGTTGTGGAGCTCGGGCTCCAGAGTTCCGGCTCCTTAGCTGTGGTGCCCGAGCTTAGTTGCCGCTTGGCATGTGGGATATTCCCGTAGCAGGGATGGAACCCGGGTCCCCTGCATTGGCAGGCGGATTCTCATCCACTGGACCACCAGGGAAGCCCTGCATTTTTCTTGAAGGATTTGTGTGTGCTGCAC